CCGAGGGAAATAGGGATAAATTTTTATACATATGGATATATTTCTAGTTCAAGAGACCTTCTTAAAACCTAGCATACGCGATCCCAGAATCGCAAACTATAACACGACCGGTTAGCAAACCGACTGGGAGGCATTTTAATTTATTATAAACGGTACGGTCCTTGCACTGTAGTTCGCTCGACATTCCAGAGCTAAGCCATATAGAGGCATCCGCGTGTAGGTTAGCGCTCACCGGCCAAAAGCCGCTTGTACTAGTCTCAGCTTACCTCTCGGTGGACAAAACCTTATTACAAAGCGATCTAGAAACGCTACTCAATTTAGGCCCTTCCGTGATAATTGCAGGCGATCTAAACTGAAAACACGGCTCATGGGATATCCACAGCATCCCAAATAATAACGGAAAGCTTATATCTCTTTAGCTTATCCGCTAACTTAAATTTTAGCATAATCGCTCCTGCGACTCCCACTAGGTATCCTGTGGTGGACAAATACCAACACGCGACACCGAGTATCCACGATATTATGTTATTCAAGGAGGTCTTGCTCGACATCGAGTTGATAGAGACAATCCACGAACTAGATTCAGATCACAAGTCTGTCCTGTGTAAACTGGGCCAGAACGCTGGCGCGGTCCGTAGTGGACTGGCATCGTCTTGAGGTCAAACTCAAGGCCTTGGACTCCCAGGACATAGTCAACCTACCCGAGACGACAGCTACGTTCGACGACGGAAATCGAGTGATAGCAAGTCTCCGAGAATCTATTACGTCCGCAGTTGCAGACTCGGAATGGACGGTTAAACAGTCGGGCGACCGACGGTTTAACTTTCCGCCCGACCTGTGACTGCTCACATTCGAACCGAACCCTACTCGACACCTTCAGCTAGAAGTCAAAGATCGCGTATCGGAACACCGACATACCGCGTGGGACACTCTCCTAGAGGACATCGAGCCATCGCACACCGCCTACTGGCGGTTGGCCCGCAGTCTGAAAGCAGACCCCCGTGGATCCCTACCGACATTAGAAATACCTAATAGCGCTTCACTAGCTCTAGAGGACTGAAAAAGCCGAATGATTTGCGAACAACCTAGAGCAGCAATGTACGAGCGTATCGAACTTAGGGCTGCGCTATCACCGGTAGGCAAACCTTTAACATCAGTGACCCCTGAAGAGCACATCAGCCCCAGGCCCAGATAAAATTAGTAATAAAGTTTTCAAATCGCTCCCTGGGCCGCTTATCTCCATACTGTCGACCATTTTCAACACAGTTCTCTCCAGTTGCTCCTTCCTTCGGAAAGAGGTCACCGTCATCCGCATTCGAAAGCCAGCTACCGACCTAGCAGCTTCCTCAATTGCTTGGCAATAAAGGTAAAAAAATAAAAGCCGAAGAAACCCGCTAATAAGCCCTCTAACCTCCTCAATTGTTTGGAGAAGGCCTACGAGCGGGTCATTTAAATAGACTTAAAGAGTACGTATTTTCAAACGGCCTTCGAGCTGGACACTCCTGCTCTGACCCAAATATTATACCGCTTAATGGCTTATTATACCGCTTAACAGCACATATTCTGAAAGGCCTCAATCACCCCTAACACTTAAGCACGGGAGCTCTTTTCTTCCATGTCACAAAAGCATTCGACAAGGTCTGGCACAACGGCTTGCTTAACTAGCTGTTCGCACTCAACGTGCCAGACAGCCTCGTGCACACCATCCGGGCCTTCCTGTTGAATCGCTACTTTCGATACTGAGTAGAGAGCATCTTCTTTACGAACCGCCCTTTCACGACGGGCGTTTCTCAAGGCCTAGCTCTACCCCTTGCTTTTTACGCTCTACACGAGCGACATACCCAAAGACCCCCCCACGTCAATCTCTCGCTTTTCGCGGATGACACGGCGCTCTTTTGCACAGATAAAAATCTTAATCAGCTCACTATTCGTCTCCAAAGCGCTGCCGACCATCTCGGGACTGGCTCAGCAAATGGAGAATAGAATTAAATCCCGACAATTAATTCTATTCACTTCACACGAAGTACTTACCCATCACACCTTTATAAAGACCCTCCTCAATTCAGAAAACTATGGCAAATATCTCTTTACGGACAACCAATCTCCTGGGAGAAAAAGGCCAAATATCTAGTAGTCACTTTCGACTCACGCATCACGTTCACATAGCATATTACCGATATTAGAAACTGAGCCGCGTTCGTCTCTAGCCGACTCTATCAACTAACTAATGTAAAATGCCCTAAAGGTACAAATTATTATTATATAAGGCCTACGTAAGACCTATTATGTCCTACGTATCAACGCAACGTCGACCTGCCCAGCGATTGCAGACACCCGACGATTCGCGAATTTTTCAAATACCTGACCAAACGGTTCTTTGATAGAGCCGAACATCATCCCAACCCTCTGGTGGTAAGCGCAACAAATTACCAACCCCATCCAAACGCGAACATCAACAAGCGTCGCCCGCGAAACGTCCGCATCAACCCGGTCGAGGAAGGGGACTTAGGTACGTTGGACCCACCGTCAGGGGTCCCGCCGGATAACACTACACACACAGTTAGGGTAGCAACAAACACATTAGTTAGTCTTTCCTGTAAGTGTTTATTCTGTCAAGTCTTCTTGTTGTTCCATATGTTTTATGATAAAGGCTTATTAATAGTTTTGCATATTATGATGTTTCATACGAGTTGCAAAGCTTATATTATGTAGAATATGTGATTCTGAACAGCAAGGGTTGTTTTGGCCTATATATAAATGCATATTCGATTCATTTGACTGAAAATGTATTTATAGTAAGTACGCACTAAAGCATACTATTGCGCTTGTGCAAGTTTCTTTAGTTCTGATAAAGGTTCAATCATAATAAATAGTACATAATAACTTTTAACTGATAATACTGGGACTACTAGTACTAAAACAACTGCTACTGCAACTACTAGTACTACAATAACTGCTACTGGAAATATTACTCTGCTAGAGGTATTTATATATATTGAGTATAAATCTGTTTCTAAATTAATTCTATTCTTGCATCAATTGTTGATCTACTTTTACCTAATCTCAAGCGGTGCTGGTTTAAAATTTTATCCGCCTCTTTTTGATTATATTTGACATTTTACTTATTTATAACATTTCATTTAGTATTAGCTTTATTTTAGGACAATTTTATTTTATTACTTAAGCAGTCTGCTTTAGCTGAAGTACATACTTTTAAAGGAGTTTGAATATTTTCTAACATATGAAAAGCAGGAACACATGTTTTTTGAGCTTATGATTAATAGAAAATCGTAGTTGCCCATACACTGTAATAAATTTAATTGCTTAGTTATATTTTTTTTGGAAGAATTTTATCATTATGAGTTAATTTGATTTTATCATTATGAGTTAGCTTGTGCTTAATAATATCTCTAAATTTCTTAATTCTGTATTTAGTTACAAGCCATGTTATATTCATTCATAATAACATTAATTCTGTTTTTATTGTGAAGGTCTATTTTAAAGGTTTTATGATGTAATATTACACCACTCACAAATTTATAATTTACTTTAATGTTATCTCACAGCACAGAATGGAATTATTTTTTTATTAATTGTTCTCTCTTATATTTTAAGTTGATATTAAGATTAAAAGTTTTGAGAAGTGAGAGAAATTTGACTTGATCTGGTGAATCCTTTCAAATGCTTTTTGATTTATTATTATTATGGGGATATCTATTTGTTTTTTATTTTTTATTTGGTTGGGTTCATAAAAATAAAAATAAACATATAGCATAGCATGGTAAATATAAATAATTTTAACTCCGGCGTAATTCAATTAAAATAAATTTTAAACGATAGACCGCCGAATTCTGCTTGTTGATTAATTCATTAGAGATTTTTCTCTATCGTTTGAAATTTATTTTAATTGAATTACGCCAGAGTTAAAGTTATTTACATTTGCCAGTATTTCTTCTAACTTCTATTTAAACAATAGCATCATTGTCTTTAACTAGTATCCTACTTATTAAAGGCTGGCACAATACGTTAATTTTAGTATATATTTTGATGAAATTTAATAGCATCAAGCCTATGTATGTTCTACTGCAGATCACGAATCTCCCCTGTTAATTATCTCCCTAACATTATGTATAAAATAAAATGTTTACTGTAATTTCACGTTAATTTTAAGACTATGGCAGTTAATGCAACCAAAAAAGTCCAAAAGTTATACGGACAAATGCAGTTACAGCAAAGGAAAATAAAGATACTCAGTCAGAAGTGCCGCAGACTGAAGCAGGTGTCTACTTTCCAAACGATTATTGACGATTTGAAGAAGCCTAATTTAGTTAATTTAGTCAATTAGTTAATTTAGTTTCATGGAAAAAAAGAAGAATGGAGAATATATCAAACGAATAAACGATTTTAATCAATGTACTAATTGTTTCTTTATTTCATTTAAGTATTTATCGCAATAACCTATTTTATGTTACAATGCTGATAGCAAATACCAGTTTTAGTTTGCATTACCCTTACGTTTGGTTAACATTATTTTTTTTTAGTTTTTAACCCCTATCCTTCAATTAGTGGTGACAAATGAGAATTAATAGAAAGGTGTGCAAAGTTGATAACATTTTTGCGTGTCATCGATATCAATATGGACTTAATAAAACAACACTATTTGCTGTGGGCGGAGTCGACGCCATTTTAGAGAAACATTTGGCTTCAGCCTATGTGACATATTGTGACATCCTCTTAAATTCTTTTATCAATGGTGCGTTCCGATTCCTCTAGAAATAATTTATATGGCAAAACAACGTTTGCCGAGTCATCTAGTTTTTTAATATCATATCTTTAATTTATACCATTATAGGGTTTCCTTATTTTTCATTAAATTTCTTTTTTTTTTAATGTTTTTGTAATGTTTAATTTGAATTTTGAATTATGGCGCTGTTTTAGAAAATGGGGAATGTTGTGAAATGGAAAAATATTGATATTTTTATATATCAATATTTTTTTCCATGCCTAGGTAGGGATGTGAAAGTCAAGAAATATATCGATACTTATGAAAATATCTAAAAAATCGATATATCGGTTAAATTTTCGGTTTTATAAAAATGTGTTTAGTGCAGTCAGTCTGATGCAGTAATAAGTAATACTAATTCTCATACAAAATATTAATGTATGTGAAATTTTAATAAAACGAAGGTACGTTATTAATTAATTATATAGTAATTTTAATCAAATTTATTTTATTATATAATGAAAATATTGATGTATTTTTTAAAAAATATCGATATTATTCGGCGTCCTTATGCCTAGCCTAGGTCAGCACAGAAGCGGTCAGCCATCTTAAATTTTAAGTTAAGGTTTTATTGGTTTTGTTTTATCGAACTGCCCTTTCGTGTTATTTTGAAAACCAAAATTCGATTGATAAAATTTTTATGAATTGCAATTAAGTATATTAATTTAAGGAGAAGCTTTGTAAGTAATGTTTATTATTATAATTTGTTTAAATGGTATCTGCTTCATCATTTGTGTTATTCATACCGGCATTATTCCAGAACGTGTCATGGATAATCAAAGAGAAAAAGAACGGGACCGATCAAGACGTGGTGATAGACCTTCACGTTTCTCTGATGCTGTCCGTGATCGATCAATTGACCGGGAACGGTCTGAAGGAAAGCGTCTTTTTGTTTCTAACATTCCATATGAATACCGCTGGACTGATCTTAAAGATTTATTTAAAGAAAAAGTACGTATCGAATTTGGCTAGTCACTTATATCTGTACATTAAGCTAGGATGTTGTAATTTTTATTATGGGTTCCTACTAATATAAGAAAACTGTTTGCCAAATTTCAACTGTCGAAAAGCTATCCTAGTGCGAGTCGGAAGACCAGAATAAACTAGAAGTGTTACCACTTCTGCTTTTCGTCTGGTGAGTGAGGTCGCCGGGGTCCACTTTATTTACACATTTCACTCATACGGGTGTTGCAAATGTCCATGAGCGGCGGTTATTAATTAATATCGGAGAACCTTGAGCTTGTGTGTCACTTTTTCATATAAAAAGCAACAAAAAGAAATACATCACCTATGATAATTTCAACTGTTTAACTATCACGGTTCATGAGATACAGCCTGGTGACAGTGACGAATAGACAGCAGAGTCTTAGTAATAGGATCGCGTTTTGCCCTTTGGGAACGGAATCCTAAAAAACAAAAAAAAATCATGTTATTTTAATTCCAAGGAAATTTTCTCCTTTTTATGGATTAAAATTCATAATAATGTAAAAAAAGGAGAACCCCTTGGAGGGGAAGGGATTCCACACTTAGGTCTCTAGGTCCGATGCCTATGGTTTGTTACAGAGGGCGGAGGCCGAATCCCTACGTGCCTCCGGCTCAAAATAACACTAGGTGTAGAACAGACTCATACCAGATGGAGTTGGGTGACCCCAATATATTAAATTAAAAAATAAGAGAATATTTCATATAACTATAAAAAATTTATGTTATGATAGGTTTGTGTATTGAAATTTCAGGTTGGTGATGTAGCATACGTAGAATTATTTAATGATGACAATGGAAAACCAAGAGGTTGTGGTGTAGTCATTTTCTCTACCACAGAGGCAATGAAAAAAGCTCTATCAGTGATGCACAGATATGAGTTGAATGGTCGAAAGCTTGTTTTAAAAGAAGAAATGGGTATATTATGCTTCAAATTTACTGCTATTTTTATTAAAAATCACACACATTTAAGTTACTGAGTATGATATTTTTAATTTTATATTTTTATATTTTATTTGCTCTAATTGAGGTTTTATTGAACAAGCAATTTATAATGTTATAACAAACAAGTTAAAACATTATTTTATTATAGGTAATGAAAGAATAAGACAAAACTCATCAAGATCTGGAGGAGTTGGTGGGGGCAGGAATGTAAGAGATGAAAAAGATAAGTAAGTAATACCTTTGAAAATAACCATTTCAGTTGTTTTGGGTAACTTTGAATTGCGGTTTAACTTTGAACAATGTTGTGAAAAAGATTTATTAATTCATTACACGAAAACTATTTTTTCGTAATTGCGTAAAATGATTGCCAAAATGTTTTAAAATAAAAATAAAAAGTCAAAAATAAACTTTCAATGTAATAATTTGGCAGCAAATTTCCTGCCTTTTCCGTGGTGCAGTCGTTGGAAGTATTTGTTACTCTGATTTGGAATCGTAATTAAAAATACGAAAATTATTGTAAACAGGTATGTTTTGGTTTTAATCTTTAAAAAGTAGTTAATATTTTATTAATTTCAAATCTTTATCCGTATTTCGTGTAGTCTACTACTTTCGTGTACTCAGTAAATCGTGTTATACCGTGGTCTTTTGCGCAAATGCTGGTGGTAAAGTTTTGCCTCCTTATTTTACATTTAAAGGAAAAAAAACTGTTCAGATTGGCTGGAGTCCAAATCTGGATAGATAGATTCTTCAATCTTTGCGGAATGGTTGCAAAGACATTTTATCTCACACATTGATAAGCATGGTGGTAAGAAGGTGCTGTTGTGCGATAATCTCAGCGCCCACATTTAGTTACTAGTGATTACGATTTTGATTTCATTAGATAGTGAAATAAACATATAATTTAATATGCTACACTATGTTCCAACTTTATCTTGATATAATAAAAAATTAAAAAAAAATATCTTTTATTTCCCACCAAATTGGTCCATCTTGATTCAAATGGCAAGACCTATCTATCACATTTAAACATTAATGTTGATCTAATTTTTAGAGATAAGGTTTTATTTAATGAAAATCTGTCATATAATTTTACCCAAAACTTAAAATATTCGAATAATGATGGTTTTTACACCCTAAAGGAAATTATATTCAAAGTTACCCTAAACTCACGATAACTTTGAATTTGAGTTTGGGGGGAAATTGTGAGTAGTTCTGTTGTTTTTTCGTAAATTTATTGTGTCGGCAAAATAAATCAACTCAAAATAGTGTATAGAAATAGTGTCATTCCTTAAATAAAATAAAGGTGTAATAGATATAAATCAGATTGTAATAGCACAAATTCTGTAAAAAATGTTCAAAGTTACCCAAACTGATGTTAATCATTATATAAATAATTATATTAATATGAGACCTATACTTTAGGTCTCTGAAATAATTCATGTATTGTGGAACATTCAATAAATTTATAATCTCAAATTAAATTATCAAACAATGTACATCTGAAATGGAAAATATTATGCAGAACTCAAATTTTATCACAGCAAAGCTACATTAAAAACATGGTATGCTACATCAAAGAGTACAAATTGTCCCACTCCAGTATGGTTTTTGTATTTTGTGTGGAAAGGTTTGGGGGTAGTAAGTTCTCATGACCACTGATCTGACATATATTATAGTCTTCTCTTCGCCCTCTTACTGTAGGATAACACTATCCCATGTTGTAATAATGTTTTAATGTTTTAGTAAGTTATATAAATTTCTCTCATTTCACATTTGATTATCACTCAGATAGTTGTCTTGAGTGATAGTCAAAACCACAACCCCCAGCATTGAAGTTAATACCCTAGCACTACTCCACCGAGTCATCAAAATAATAGTATGGTTAGTGTTAATATCAGAAAAATCAATAATCCTTATGAAAAAATATAGCAGCTTACATGAAACAAAACTATAATGAATGTGGTTACAGTGAAGTGAAATTGATGTTATGGATTTTTACATTATTTTAAAATTAATTATATTATGATATAAAAATTATTTGCAAGTGTGCCATCAACAGAAAATTCTTAAAAAAAAATGATCAGACCATGTACTTTGTCTTTAATATACTTTCATCATCAAACTGTCATTTTCACTATTTTATTCTTTTCCTATACTCACTGTCCATTAATGTATCAGGTACATTCTGTGCAATTGACGTTCATTGTTAGCTCTTTGTACAGCGTGTCGTAACAACCTCCACAATAAATGAACACACATATAGAAAATAACTTTTTAAAATTGTATTAAGCATTTACTTTAAACATCAATATTTACAGAGTTATTAAATTTTACAAAACAAACATTTTTAGAACACTGAACAAAACTGTAACATAAAGTTCATTTGTAAAAGTCACAATGCATATTAATGGGTTGAAAGAATTTAAATGAGATAAAACATACTATTGAAGGAGTGACTTGTAATGCGATGTTGTGGCAAGGAATGAAAAAGTCTTTGAATGTATGAATCAGTCAGTTGTAGTTGTATAGGTGTTACAAATTTTGTTTCTTTTTCATTTAATTACTTCGTTTGAAAAAAAAAATTAAATTATGGATTTTTTAAAGTTTTAAATTTTTTTATGATTATTGGCAAGTAGCGTTAGACGTGTGTTAATTTATTGTCGCGGTTGTAACGACACGCATATAAAAATCAATGTTGATAGTGTGGTTCCCTTCTGGTCAAAAACCTTCTATGTTAATGTATGTAAGTCTTTAATATGGATAATATATTTAATAGAAACATTTTTTACAGTTGGGGTGCTAATAAGCCCAGAGAACCTGAAAATTTCAATACATATGGGCTGAGTCTTCAATTTTTGGATTCAATTAATGTACAACCTCCACTTGTAAAAAAAATATTTGTGGCTAATGTAAGTATAACATATACTATTTTTGGATTTTATTTTTTAAATATATAACTCAAATTTTTGTTTATAAATTTGAAATTTTGAAAGGCTTATTAGAGTTTATCTTTTGAATTGTTTAGGAAAACAGTTCAGGACTTCAAAGTATAATTATAAATTTTTTCATTGTAAACACTTAAAGCTGTAAATATTTAAGTGTATTATTTACAAGTAAAGTTTATTATTAAAATTATCAATCAATAAATAAAAATTTAAATGCATATAAATATATTAAAATTATTATTCAAACTTTGTAGTATTTACTGTTCAAATGAAGAGATGAACTCTTTATTTGAATTGTTAGTATTTGTTTCAATGCTCAAACATAAAAATAAATATGTATTATTTATGCTAAAGAAGTATGATTTTCTATGTGTTATTAAAAATTGAAAAAAAGTTAAGTTTGCTCAAATTTAGTGTCATATTAATATTTTTTCAATATTTACATTCAAAATTTAATGCAATTAATTGAAACAAAATGTATTTCACCTCATAAAACCATTAACAACTGTGTTTCTTACATATATCTCATTCAATCCTTTGTTGTTATTGATGTCATTGACATTGTGATATGTTCTATCCTAGAGTGATTAAAGTACAAACTATATATATGTTTGAATTTATAATATTTTAGGGTAACCTTTTTAGTCTGTGCATAAGATTTGTACATGCAACTTTGGTCTGATCCATTAAATGTTGCATGACAAATGTCAAATGACATTCATATTGAGAAGTCAACTTTTGTTTTAGTTGGATTATAAAGCAGATCGTTCAAAAATTAAAGAAGTATTTAAAATGGCAGGAAAAGTTTACAATATTGACCTAGCTGTTGACAAAGATGGCAATAGTAGGGGATTTGCAGTGATTGAATATGATCATCCTGTTGAAGCTGTTCAGGTAATTTGTTTATATATCTGTAGCAATACAAGTGGCATTCTTAAATGATAATATAGTTGTATATCTTTTATATTGTTAAATAATTTGTTTAGTTTATATTTTATTTTTATTTCTATATTTTCCAGGCTATATCAATGTTTGACAAGCAATTGCTGTATGACCGTAGAATGACCGTTCGAATGGACCGAGGACTATCTGATAAAACAGAATTAAGATTGCCAGAAGGCCTAAAGGGTATTGGCCAAGGGTTGGGACCTAATGGAGAACCATTACGAGATGTGGCAAGAAATTTGCCCCAGGCCCCAAACACGTCAAACATAGGTTTAGCTGGAACTGGCACCGCAATAGGCGCAGGTGTGTTGGGTGCTGTACCAGCTGCAGGAGTGGCTTTAAATGGCCTCGGAACTGGATTACCTGGGAATACTCTTGGCACTAATACTGCTTTAGGTGGTAGTTTGGGCTTGCAGGTAATTTCAATATATTTGAAACAGTCATCAGTATAAATTTCTGTAAAAACATGCTCTAGAAAAATATAATGTAAAGAAGCATATTATATGTTTTACAAGAAAAAAAAAAACTTAAATTTAACACAAGCATAGTACTTTGTTCCATATTTTAGTCATGAAGTATCTTTTTCAGGCTTTAGGTTTGACTGGATTAGGGGCATTGCAGAATCAATTACTTCAGCAAGGTCTCACTGCAAATGATTTAGCAACTGTTTTGTCAGCGCAAGCTGGCAATGTCAACAGTGCAAATAACTTAAGTTTAAACACCACTGATATGGGAACAAACATGATGGGCAATTCAAATTTGGGCAACAATGTTATGGGTGGTAATCCAACTTTAAGCAGTGGTCCTCTATCAGGTATTCAAAAACGTTTGTTTATGTTAAGACACTCATTTATGGGCATTTAGAAATATTTGAAATTTATTTAATATTCTTAGCATCAAGCAGGCAGATGGCCAATATGCCAACACCAGGACAAGGATATGGTAGAGATTCTGGATCGCAACAAAGTTCAAGGGACAAAGCATCTGATATGGTGATTATAACAAACGTACGTACACAGGTCAATGTATTGTCAACTATACACTTGTGTTTATGAATTATAATTAGAATATTGTATGAAATACAATTTGATTACATTTATTTCATTCATGCATAATTTTTTAGATTGTTTTTATTTATATGTTATTGTTATGTACTTTTTAATATTTCAATTACAGCTTCCACCAACTGTTACATGGCAGTTGATAAGAGAAAAGTTCAGTGAGTGTGGTGACGTTAAGTTCGCCGAAATGACTGCTCCCGACACAGCTGTCGTTCGTTTCCACAATGAGTGGGATGCAGAAAGAGCTATCAGTATCCTTTATGAATTGCCAGTTGGTGTTTGTACATGAAGACTTCTCGTCTCTTCTACATCATACACTTGAATTGTTATTATTATTAACCTATATTCACAATGGATAAGTTTAGTACGAGGGCGGGATGATAAGTAACTAGCCTAATGAGAAAACACTTAACTTTCCGTGATAAAAATGATTTTATTTTTCGACATAATCTCCGTGAACCTCTACACACTTATTCCATCTTCGTTCTAAAGCAGTAATGCCTTCCAGAAAATGATTTCTTTCGAGGCCTGCAAAATACTCCTCTACAGCGGCTATGACTTCATCGTTTGTGGCAAATTTCTGTCCGCCCAAAAAAGTTTTGAGCTTAGGGAATAAGTGGAAGTCTGATGGCGCTAGATCAGGCGAATAAGGTGGGTGGGGCAGCAAATCATACTTCAATTCGTTGATTTTTGCCATAGCTTTAACACATGTGTGAACCCTAGCGTTGTCTTGGTGGGAGATGATTTTTTTTTTCGCCAAACCTGGTCGTTTTTGCTGAACACATTGATGAAGCTTGTCAAGAAGATTAGCGTAGTATTCACCATTAATTGTTTGACTTTTAGCAAGGTAATCTATCATCAGGATCCCATCTGCATCCCAAAAGACGGAAGCCATCATTTTGCCAGCCGACTTTACAGCCATGGCTCTTTTTGGAGCCGGGCATCCCGATTGAGTCCACTGTTTTGATTGAATTTTTGATTCTGGCGTGTAATGATGAACCCATGTTTCATCTGTTGTTACAAAAGACGTAAAAAATCGGCCTTATTACACTGAAAACGGTCCAGACATTCTTTTGAGTTTTGGGTGCAAAATCCTAGAATCCTTTTTTGATCGTGCGTAAGCAATCGCGGCATCCAACGGGCCGATAACTTTTTCATATTTAATTCCTCACTTAGGATATGATGTACCCGTTCTTTCGAGATATCTGTTGTGTCAGCTAATTCAGATAACTTCAATCGTCGATATGCTAAAACCATATCATGTATTTTCACGACCATTTCCGGAGTCGTGACGCTTTTTGGACGTCCGGGACGGGCTTCATCTTGGACACATGTACGGCCGCGTTTAAACTCATCCACCCAGTTTTTTTACTGTGGCATAAGAAAGAGCACATTCACCCAAAACATTCTTTAACTCGTCATAGATATCTTTCACCTTCATCCCCTTCGTATGAAGAAAATTCATACGAAGGGGATGAAGATTTATCCATTTTGAAAATTTCATCCAAATTACAAAAAAAACAATAAAAGTTTCACGCCACCAAATTCAAATTTAGAAAACAGGTGACCAGAGATAAAGAATTAAAAATTACATATATATTTTTTTAATTTTAACTTTTTAAATAGCAACGGCTAGTTACTTATCATCCCGCCTACGTAAGTAGAGTCGCCAGTTCCCATATGTAAGGTTGGCATTTGCAACCTCACTGGTGTTGTAGTCATGAGCAGTGTTAATCAAAATATCAGTTTAGTAAAAAAACCGCCAAAGTGCGAGTCGGACTCGCACACGACGGGTTCCGTACCATTATTTGTGAAAACGGCAAAAAATCATGTCCGTTGTAAATATTTTTTTATTGTTTTTTAGTATTTGTTGTTATAGCGGCAACAGAAATACATCATCTGTGAAAATTTCAACTGCCTAACTATCTCACGGTTCATAAGATACAAACTGGTGACAGGCAGACTGACAGCGGAGTCTTAGTAATGGGATCCCACTTTACCCTTTGGGTATGGAACCCCAAAAAAGATGGTTTAGGTAGAATTGTTGCCTTTAAATACTTATTTGCATATAATCTATCTAGATAAATTAATATGCAGACCCAAATGCTTATTTTAAAATATTTAATTTACGTCATAATAATTTTCCTATAGCCTTGTTCAGAAATGTTTGACAGAACACGCATTGATGGCAGGACAATCGATGTCCGCTTTTTCTAATACTGACTTTCTGATCAGGAGGTTCGTTCAATTATTTATTATTTTTTTATTTGGCCGCAGTCTTAAATTGCAGTATTGTGACTCTTTATGATAAGCATTTTGTTGGAAAGAATCTAGCAACTATTATGTTTTACGAATTCATCCTATATTCTCTTTTTCTAGCCTCATTTACACAAAATTAGTGTTTCGATACGATTTTCAAAGTCATGTTTTTCTACTTTATTTTAATTATATGGCTTTTTAGGAGAATAATTGTTTAAAACTTTTGGGTGGAGTACAAATTAGTGTGTAAAGAAAATCTACCTCAACTGTTATACAAAGTCACGGCAGACGAATAAGTACTTATAAATAATTTACCAATTGTATATTTTTGTGTATTCATTCGTAAATCTGAGTAAAATTTTACTATTCACTGCATTTAACTTTTGACATTCTCCACCCAGATGTACTCGATGAATTTTTATCCGTATTGTAAAACGAATTCGAACCTGTGGCCTAAGATTGCGAATTGACACCCACAAGGATTATCTAGACCAGGGGTTACCAACATTTTTCTCTTTATTTTTTGTCTTCGAAATATGTCGTGGTCGACAAGTTTCGAGGATTTATTGTTATGGGTCCTAACTGCTAACTGCATGTCATGTAATCTCCACAGTTTCCTTTGTTAAAACACCACTTACGATCAACCAAAACTAACGGTCTTCTTGGCCGCCCCTGACGTAGGACATGTATGATGTGGTGTTTACTTCCTCATTGTACCCACAAGAAACATTCCGCAATAATTGTACCGGGTTTTTATAAAAATAAATGATTTCACGTCGAATTCGGCTAGTTGTAACTGGTTAGTTTTGGGCAGAATTTTCTAAGGAGTATTAACTGTTGGTGTTATAACTGGCTGGTCTGTGATATCCGTTTTTCGCATTCGTTTGTTTTTAAATCACTGAAATGTGATCGGTCTGTAGGATGCTGGGATTTCCAATCTCGGATCGCATATTCGGACGGGGCCATAAATCATTTGTAATTTTTGTGTTTTCAGGAATGTGGTATCGAAGTCGGTCTATTGGTCTGAGAAACTGCTTGTCATCGTCGTCTTAAATCATCTGCTGCTAACGCGTATCCGTGCTCTCGGTTTTTTTAGACTTTGACATCCATTGATAAATACTTGTATTTTAGTTTAGTTTAGCCTAAGTGTCTCAATGTTTGCTGTACAAGGTTTTATTCAATAAACATATTAAAATATGGTAAAGGACGATTTTCTAGTTCTTATTATAATCCGATCGTTGTGGCGTTCGAATCGAAGAACATTTCTCGTAATGCTATGTTGGCAAAGGCAAGTATCTATGGCTCATAACACTTCTTTGTTAATAAAATGGACGCTTTAAATTGTTTTGTTTTTTTTGGTGCATGCCATTGTTTCGGGGAAGCGGGTCTTATTTAAATATCAACGTATCAACTTGTTTGAAAAACGATAGAGTATTTCTTCTAACTCTAAATTGATCCGTGCTTTAGAGTTTTTTGGATAAATGAAACTTCTCTAACCAAAGGAGTACTAATTTAGTGTAATTTAATCATTCACGCGCATGTATTTGATGAGAACTAGTGATTGGAGGTCAAAATTATTGCGGGAAATGTTACTTACTGTTTTCGACTTCAGCTTTTATATTGACATTGTATGACTGACGTGGCGTCTATGTGATGTCATTTGTACCAAAGTTATGTGATTAGTTGTAGGCTTAGTCGTACTATGGGGACTAATCTCTGATACATTTTCGGATGACCTGACTGGAATTGTTTTATATAATAATTGTTGACTTCTCTATTCATTTATTTAATTCCAATGCCTTTATTGGTTTTCCGTTATGCCAATACATATGGTATTTGACAAGATAGAATATTAATCACCCTGAAGAATTATGAAAGACATTTCAATTGCTTGTCATTTACGTTGGTAAGACTTAATCCATGTTTTAGATTTTCTATTTTCTTGAAGTGTTCTTCGCAGTACGAGAGATATTTGTGGTACGGAGTACATCGGTCCCTTTGGTGGTTTATTGAAATGTACATGGTAAGTTATAAAGATGTGGAATATGGAAACTTGTTATCAATGCGTTTGCATAATTTGAATAAAAACCATTGTCTGAGCGTTGGTATCGATCCATCATACGAATTGTAGTATTCTGTATTTTCATTGTGTTCCATACCCCAGTTTACGGCAGGTTGTTGACAAACAGAATGGGAAATTGTTGCTTCTCACATCGGCTGCATATTGCGCCTCTTCAAGCACTACGGTCAGGGTGTGCTACATTTGGGGTTTGGCATCTTTCCACGCAAGTTTTAGCTGGTAGATTTTAAATATCTCGCTGGCTTATGAATATGTAAACGATACTAATAGTTTTGGTACATTTTCCAGGATAACTTACTGATGTGTTTAATCTATGATGACATAATGGCCTCTTTAATGTGGCGTTGAACGAACGACAAATCAATTTCCGGTAAATTATTATTTTGTAAGTTTCTATATTTAAGTAAATTCTGATAATTGTATCACTTACGAAAGATACATTAAAACGATAATACATTTTTTAATTTTGTAAAATCACCACATCAGCATTTAAAATTTATTACTGTGTTCAATGAATTCAAATAAAACATAGAAGCACCAACTCACACTGACAGTAATCACGCACGTATACAAGTATACAAATCAATAAAACAATGAATTATCTCTCAAACAAAAATTAACTTATTTGTTAGATCAACTAAGTCTATATTATTATTTATAATACGCTAGTTTCGGCGCTTCAAAGTTATAGCGGCACCAGCATTGACAGTAGTTATTGACAAGCCGTAGCAGTAATGTCAGGCGCCATAACGGATATTTTATGCATAATTGTTTATTAAATAATTATTAATTATTTAATAAACAATTACTGACTTAGCATAATTATTTTCCTACAAATATTGATTTTTTTCTTATTTGTATAGTATTTATCTATGTTACACTTATATATTGAATATTCATGGTCACGATACAGGCGTCGCTTAATGAGCACCGCGGTTAGTGAATGGTTTTCTAAATGTCTCAACAGCAGCCTAGTTCTAAGCTTTTGAGCATATTTTTGAAGTCTTGGTAGGCATTTGATCACTTTCGTGTCTCCCTAATTGAACAGCTATCATCCATTGTTCTAGAAAAGAATAATACGAAACGGACATTATGTTATCTAATGCATTCATGAGTTCTTTATAAATTCGAATGTAAAATAAAAATATCAAAGATAAAGAAAGGTACCAAATTTATAAATTGAAATATCTAAATATTATGTGGCATAATGTCATTAATCCCTTTACTAAAAGTGCAGTTAAGCCCCGCCCATCGCGGCCCAGTTCTCGTTGTCATTTTAGAGAGACAATAATGTTGCCATGTTTTATTTGCGTTCATTGGCTGTGTTAGCCTATTATGGCGAAGTATAAAAAATAATCTTATTTATATTATTTTTCAGCTACGAAAAGAGGGTCAATTGCCAAATTTCACTCTTAATAATCGGAGTAAATAAATAGCTTAACCGCTCAAAGACGAGGTAAGATTATAAAGCATTAAATAATGTATATACAAACGAAAATTTTGTAAACATTGACATTGTCGATTAGTAAATTCATTTGTGTTTGAGGCCCCTATAAAGTATCCCGTTCAGTCTCCTCGATGCGATATCTCATAAGATGTCTATAAATTACATGACATTAATCATGGATACGAACGACAGATGAAAAATACAAATGATTTCGGTCCTTGTAAACGTGTTATGGTCTGCGTTCCTGAGCACTGTTTCCAAAATAATAAAAGAACGTTTATATTAGGGTTGCCATAAAATATAGAACGCTTCACTATATCACGCTTGTATATTTATTTATATATATATATATATTAAATTTTCCAAAGCAAACAATTTTAGAACACCCTTACATATAAAACTGTAACGTAAAGTTCATTTGTAAAGGTCACAAAGCATATGAATGGGTTGAATGAATTTAAGAGACAAAACATACTGTTAGAAGAAGAACTTTGTAATGCGACGCTGCGGCAAGGAATGAAAATCTCAGAATGTATGAATCGGTCATTTGTAGTTGTATAGGATGTTACAAATTTTGTTTCTTTTTTATTTAATTAGTTTGTTTGAAAAATATATTTTTTAATTATGGATTTTTTTAACGTTAATATTTTTTTATGATTATTGGCAAGTAGCGTTAGACGTGTGTTCATTTATTGCCGCGATGGTAACGACGCGCTGTATAATATCGGAATCTCGGAAACGGCTCCAGCGATTTTCATGAAATTTCGTATGTGCGTAGATTCGGGGGCGAAAAATCGATCTAGCTAGGTTTCATTCATCACATAGGAAGGAAAAATATGATTCGAATATGACAGTAAATTTCGCCGCAAAAAAAATGTTATAGTAGCTTGGTCGGTAATCGGGCGGCCACAAAACAGACGGCCGCGGTTCGTATCACGATCATTTACACACTTATTTTTTTTACTTTGTTTTCTATACCAGATCATTTTCTTTATTTTTAATTTTTTTTATTTCCTAAATACATTTACCAAAAAAAACCGAGCTTTGCTCGGTCCTCCAGGTACTGTTTAATAAAGGACGGATGACATCCGAAGCTTAATTGTTCTGATCCAAGCGCGTATGCTGAAAATAACATGTTTCATGTGATTTTCAGAATACTTGTGTGGATTTTCATATTAAGATGGTAATTACATGTGCGGAAACCGAAGTTTGATATTTTATTGGATGGTCGTGACTTTCGTCGTTTTGGTTCTTGAGTTTTATATACAAGCACTAATTAGGAGCTGAATAGGTCGCCATGGCTGAAATTGGTCGGAATAATCATCATCATCAGACACGGTTTAAATATAAGTAAATTATTATTAGGCGTTCTTGTCTCGTTACCGTTTAATAAAGAAAAACTTTGGAGGTTAATAGTTTAATAATTTTATAGGTAAAAACCTAAACTTTTGCCTTCTGTGAATACCTTCCCGTGTCCATTTTTAAATTAATTTAATAATTTAACCTTTACTTAATAATTTATGAACAATTCAATTTAAATAATTTTTAATGTTATAAATGGGGCAAATACATTCTGTTCTACCGTCTGGGCGATGAACCCAACCTTAGTCCTCTTATGTTTATTTCGAGCAACCTTTTAAATTCATTGTCGAATCCCCAGCGGTCTGTAATAATGATACCCAATGAGAAAATTTATTGTATTTTCCAATGTAATTTTAGTTATTTAGTAAGGTTTCTTAATTTTGACATGTTATAGCATACTTTTACTAAAGATCATAATAATTGTTTCAGGTCACCGGATAATTAAGAGCGTTAAAATAGTTTGGAAAATCCGAATAACAATGGATGTAAAATAAAGAATGAAAATTTCTTTATAACCTAAAGCACCGTTAATCCTTAAGTGTTTACTTTCCCGAGTGCGTTGAGTTAATCACTGTACCGTCCAAAATAATTAATATACGAGTTGTAAATATAAAATAAGCACTGTTTATAAAATATATTTAAAATAAGTAAAATTTTCTCGTGTCTCTCATTTAACTGTAGTGTCCCCGCTTATAACCCAACATTCACTAGCAACTGATGCAACAGTTCTACAGTTTCAATACCCAGTATAGGCAGAAATTATTTTGTTAATTGCAATTTTGAATTGAAAACTTCTTTAGGCCCGTAGAGCACTTTTTGGGTGAACAAAATTCAATGATCTCATTTTTACCCAAAATGTTGGAGGCCCTTCTGTGTCCAATTTTTGTTAGTCATATACAACGCCTATTTGCTGATGTGCAACACGGATTTACTAAATGTAGATCTATTGCTACCAACTTAAGTAACTTTGTAACCTTCCTATCTGGACGTATCCTACGGATTTCTCCAAGTCGTTCGATAAAGTTAACCACTCACTCTTAGTTGTCACACTGGTTTTGGAGGGTCTAAACTGTCATGGCTTGCGACGTATATTGCAGGTAGATCATCTTTTGTTGTTGTGAAAGGGTACGCTTTGCCGTCATACCTATCTACACATCTATCCTCCTGACAATTTTGTTTAATATCTAATATATAAAATTCTCGGGTCAGGGTGTTTGTAATTGAACTCCGAAACGGCTCGACCGATTTTCGTGAAATTTTGTGTGCATATCGGCCAGGGTGGAGAATCGGAAAACATCTATTTTTCATCCCCCTAAATCGACCGAGTTTTGCCAAAATGTAACAACCCACAAATTGTGAAAAAATGAGTTATTGACACCAAAATTATCAGAATATTATATATTACTACTTGAATAAAATAATACAACCTTAAATCTGACATCATAAAATGATTGTATGAACCAAACCACACATTAATAACATGTAAAAAATAATTCTATAATGATCCAACATCGTTTGGTACAATCATAACCTTGGTCTGTCGGGTAGCGCACTATGAAAAATGCGCTGTCTGTCGGTGAAAAACAGTCGCGCAATTTTGCAACTGCGTCTTTCTTCGGAACAATATTTGTAGTGAAAACCATAATCTATATGATTCAGGTTTATTTTAAAGCTATATGGATGGCTTAACTTTATACACTTATTACCTTTTGGCCTTTGTAGAATGTTTGAATTGTTTACTAGAAGCAATTCTTACTATAAGCTATCAATAAATACTACATCCTAAAGAAAAATATCTATAAGTCATGATAAACCTTTTAATTTTTTTTATTTCCATGTTATGAAAACAGATTACATGTTGTTTTGAATAAATATAAATAAAATGTGTATTTCTTTGATTAAACTTAAGAAATTTGAGTATAAATATCATAATTTATTGGTGCTCTCTGAACACAGATCTACGTTCCGACACTGACTATACTGGATGTTTCAATTTTCAAGTAAGTTTCTTCCTACTTCCAATTAAAAAAAAATCAAAGTAAATTTTTTATTGTGCTATTCTCGGCACTTAAGACGAAACAATAAAATTTGTAGTAGAAAAAATTTTATTAATGACTCCGTGCCAAGCTATTGGCTTCGGCGTCGGGGGTCGTGGGTTCGATTCCCACACGGGACAACTGTTTGTGTGACCCACATCTGTGGGTTCACTATCTAGTTGTTACACTATCTAGTTGTTTCGCATCTGGGTGTTTGTCCGCATGAAATTTATGTTTGTAAAACGTCTTACAAAATAGGATCAACTAAAAAAATCTACATTGTTTTTTCGCATTCCAAGCCTAGCTTGGTACATTTATATTATATTATATCCTTTACAGCATACAAACAATTTAAATTTCACACTGCAACGGTCTATAAAAGGCACAGCGTTAGCCGTGTTCGGGGCTAATCCGTTAGTCGTAGGTGGCGTCATCTACAGACCCTTACCGCTAGGAACGTTCCGTCGCAAATGGCGCAGACCACGACACGTCCTCGATTTCCATGACGATGAGACGACTATTGCCATCGACAGGATAAAACAATACAATCTACAAAAAATTTAATCTTAGATTTAAAACATCAATGGGCACATGCAATAAGTGTGATGCTTACATGCTCGCCATGAACACCCTTCATTAAGAGATTTAAAGAAGAAGACCATAGAAAACACTTAGCAGAAGGATTAAGGGTTCAAATGAAAGCAGATTTTGAAAAAGCGAAATTAGGATGAAATGTAGAATATCTCAACTTCGATTTGGCAAAAACACTTCTACTTCCATGAATCGCTACTAATGTAGTTTTTATAAGCGACAGTTGTAGGTTTATAATAGTGGGATATATTAAGCGATAAGGTGCACTGTTTTATTTCGGTTGAATGTAAGGTGGCAAGGGAAGCAAAGGAAGTGTGTTCATGTTTGTTAAAATACATAAATAAAGAGTTATCTGATGACACCGAAGAACTTATTTTGTGGAGAGTCATTTGGAAAAACCGTAACAAAACAATCACAGCTTAATTTAAGGTTCATTTCAATGATACTCATTCTTGCCTAACGACTCAGATTTTGATAAAATTAGAAATCATCTAAAACAACATTAAAGAGTTTATACAGTAGACGATTACATTCACATTATGAAAAAATGCAAAAAAATTTAATCGCTTATAAGTTATTAGAACGAAAGCAGGAGATTTTGTTAGTTATAATAAGTTAGAAAAGCAATTAGTTCATAGACAAACTTTTATTAATAAGGACTAAATTCTGAAGAACGAAAAGTATACAATTATTAACGAAAAAAATGACAAAAATCAAGTTGGGTTGAATTTCGTCATCATGTTAATAGTTTAAAACAACTATGGCCACAAGGAAAAGAAATTGCGCAGGATGTAGTAAATCATATAAACTCTATGATGCATTTAATACCAGCTGATTTTCATGATTTTATATTATTAGGCCTGATTATGAAAATGTTGCAGGAGTAGGAAAATAATCTCTGTAAAAAAGATTGTCCTTCTAATGTAATGTGTGTGTGAATGAATTAAAACATCTTTTTTTAATCCTTTATTTATATTATGGTTTATATTTTACCACCCCAGTTATATATAACGTATTAGTTGTAACTCAATGCTTTTTTTAGAATTTTTAATGTATATAAAACTAAATGGTACATTTTGGCATATCTTATTGATGTCAAACTACTTGATAAAATCAATTTTGCCAAAATGTACCAGGAGCATTTTTTTTTAAAAAATTTTATAAAATCTAAAGTTATACAAATCCAACTAAAACATGTATCCAGACTCATAAGCAAAAGTCACAAATCGGCACCAACAAAATGTTTAATTAGGTAGTTAAAATATGAGTAATTACAACTCAAACTTCAAACGTAATTTTCTCGATATAATTTTTTTGCAGTTGGTACATTTAGGCATAACTGGGTTCAAATGTTAAAGGTGGTCCACCCCAAACATTTTTTTCTACCCTACAAATAATTTATATGGCAAAACAACCACCTATATATAAACGATGTTAAGGAAATCTTTCGTAACGCGGACGACCTAAAACTTGCGAAAGAAATAAGATCGCCCAAGGACTTAGATGTCCCAACAAAATGGAATGGCACTCCTGTAAATTGCTCAATTACAAGATTTACTCGCAATCATAAAATAATTGTAACAGCATACCATATTAACTGCATAGCGCTTAATGAACAGGAAGTGGTGCCTGATCTGGGTGTAACGTTTCATACCAAAGTAAACATTAAACACCATATTTTAAATATTAGATAGATATCTAGACGTTTGATTGATAACTAGATGGTTCTGGAAAATAAGTATAATTATTGTTTTAATTTTAAGTTCCAAATCTGTTGAATACTTTTGTATCGGGACAAAGTAGATAATATATAAAGAATCAGTTATTATATATTTTTATATTGTATAGTATTTACATAAATGTTTTACTCTAGCGGTTTCGGTAACCTTTGAAATAATTTAAGAATCTAGGTAGGTAGGTCATTGGATGGACCTCCCAGATAACAATAATAGTGGAGAGAGAGAGAGAGAGAGATAGGAAGGAAGAGAGAGAAAGGAAACAACATGGAAGGTTGAAAGAATGATAAATAACAAAATTAAGAAATTGATTTGATGAACTTATCTTTTATTTCATAAACACCGACTTTAGACATCTTTTAAAACTTGAGTATGTGAGGTATAAAATCTTATGTAGTTAGCAATGTCAGTAGCTTTTTCCATAAGAAGGAATATTATTATTCGAATAAACGCCACAATAAATTCCATAATTGAAATTACAGAAGTTCCTATGCACGTATTTACCACACCACCACTTTTCACTAAAAATAAATATGTATATGTTTTACATAATTATCATGACAATCAACTCAATTGCATTGTAGTATGATTATTGAAATCGATGTAAATGTTGTTAAGTCACAATAAGACTCGTAGTAACAAGTGTATATGAATTTGTCCCGTAGCAACGTGACATTATCTGAATAGAGCTTGGATAGCTTTGAATCGAACTATGATTGCGAATTAAGTCATACACCGCCTTACAAAACATATCCTCAGCCCCACTGTAGGTAAAGATGCTCTTTTTTGATGTCGATATTCAACAGTCTTTTTCTACTATGTAGAAAAGTTATTTCTACTATGTTTTCATCAGACCCACGCGTGTACGCTTTTGTATCAAACTAGAACTAGTGCAAAATAATTTCATTTGCATTGCAACCGGTGCAAGGTGCAACCAACCGCTCGCAGCAAATAAATAACACCGTCGACGGCTGCCGATGCTACGGTCCGCTGGTGGCACTCGTTTTATTAATGCACTGACGTTTGCATACGCGCAACTCTGCTTAAGTAGCGTTTGCCGAGCTGGTGGAAACAT